TAAAAATTTTTTTTTAGTGGCAATCAAGTCTAATATTCTAGGACTTTGAAGAACTGTTGCTGTCCATGAATCAATTTTATCCTGAAGAATGACTATGTTTTCCTGAACAATAGTTACATGTTTCTTGGTATGAGTAGAGAGCTGGCTATGTTGAACTTGTTGGTTGCCTATTGTAGTGGTACCGGTGGTCACTGACCCTGTCAGGGCCATTTCTAGCAGGAGTAGTAAAAGAATCTAAGGGTGTAAGTATTGTGGAACCTCTTTCGGAGCCTTGCTTCCTGGGAACACATCCAAGTCAGGGGCCAAGAGTATGAATCTGCACCTGTCTCCCTGGCAACAGATGTAAACATATTTGGGACAGGTGAAGTATTTGCCATAAGGACTGTTGTTCTTTGTTTTGTTTTTCAAGACAGGGTCTCTCTATGTAGCAATGGCTGCCCTGGAGCTCACTTTGTAGATCAGGCTGGCCTCAAACTCAGAGATCCGCCTGCCTCTGCCTCCCAAGTGCTGGGATTAAGGGTGTGAGCCCTCACTGCCAGGCAGAACTACTGTTCTTTTAACTGGTCTGGCATAGCCCTTTTGATTTCCCACACATCAGGCTTTTCTTATGACCTGATTGGGTGGCTCAGTTAAACACACCTCTTTTGTGTTGTCAGTCAGGCTTTGGTTAGTGATTCCTACTCCAGTATGAGTAACTTGGCTTCCATGTAAAATATCCAGCAGTCATGCCTTAGGTAAAGGAGCTCATGGCTGGCATTTATTAAAGCCAGCATTTTAAGACATGTCTTTCTCAGATGAAGGGTTTTCCTATGGTCAGTTTCCACATTATTCTTCCCTGGTTCCCTCTAAACAGAGGCCTGTTATGACCTTGACTCCTTGTTCCTCTATGGGAACTGTCTTGCAGGCCCCTTTCCTGGGAAGTCCACTCGTGAATGTTACAACCAGTATTTAAGATGACAAGACCAATAGATCCCCCTCCACAACAATCCACAAGTGTTCTTTTGTCCTCTGGCCACTCGTCCATAGACTGTCACTAGCTGGGGACATCTCCACGAGGAATCACAGTCTGTTTTACTGGTGTGGGCAGTTCCATCACAGCATGATGAGGTCAGAGGGATGATTCGCGCCTAGTCTACTCCTAGTAGAAGCATTACTCTAAGGCGCTAAGGGTTGCTCTCCAGACTAATTTATGCGACAAGGTCAGGGCCTGAGTAGGGTTGGCTTGGATGTATGTCCATGGGATTGGGAAGGGCGTAGAGAGGCAGAGTAGGAGCTGGGTTGTTGCCTCCACTCTGAGATTGTTTGAGCTGGTCAATTTCAGAGGGTAGTCTGGGTCAGCTTTCACAGTGCATTCTGGCTTGGGTTCACATGAAGACTTGGTGCATTCTGGTTTGATGTACCTACAGCTTGACACCTTCAACTTCAAGAGCTGAGGAGGTGGGCAATTTTTGTGCAGTGTCAGCCAAATCTTTCAAGAGACATTGGAGGGAAGTGTGTCCATACTCTTGGAGGTCCTTTGAGACCTTTGGGAACAGTAGAGGTGGGTGGCCAAACATAATTTCTGCTCTTTTTTTTTTTAAATTTATGTTTTGGTTTTTCAAGATGGGGTTTCTCTATGTAGTCCTAGCTATGCTGGAACTTGCTCTGTAGACCAGGCTGGCTTCCAACTCAGAGATCAGCCTGCCTCTGCCTCTTGAGTGCTGGAATTAAAGGTGTGTGCCACCACCATGAGGCTCAAACATGATCTCAAAAGGAGAGTAGCCATATTTGAAGGGCATGCAATGCACCCTAAATTGTACAAGTGGCAGAATTTCTGGCCAGGGAGGTCTGTTTCTTGTCAATGTTTGGCCTGTGCCATTTTAAAAGTTCTATTCATTCTCTCAACAAGGTCTGATAATCGAGGGTGGTATTGAATGTGCAAGGTCCAAGTTAATTCTCTGTGCAGGTAAGAAGAACTTCTACCCAGCCTGAAAAAGGACACACTATAATCAGCAAGTATAAGTACCCTCTGCTGGATTGAATGCCAGTAAAGTCCACCTTTAGATGTTTCAATGGATAAAACTCCTAGTTTTGTGTCAGCGTGGGGTGCCTTGGGTCCCTGCTTGAGATTGTTTCAAGCACACTGCAGACAGGCTTTGATAGCTTGTTGGATCAATGTTGGCAACCTTGTGACCATCAAATATCTTTGCAACAATTCTTGCAGGGCAGTTTTTCCAGGAGGGTTGCTTTACGAGCTTGCCTGACTAGGTGGGGGGCAGTCATCTCAGGAATTAGTATTTTTCTGTTTGTAGCAGTAACCAGCCAGATCTCCTAATTTTCAGTAGCCCCTTAATCAGTTTTCCCCCTTTGGTACATGAGGAGGGCTCTGGGATCACAGGGAGTGTAAACATACCTTCTGGGGGGGATAAAGCAAGGCGAGTAGAAGGCCATGTCTAGACCCAGGAGGGCAGCCTCTTTAGCTGCCTCATCTGCCAGCTGGTTTCTCCAACTTGCTCAACCTTGACTCCTTATGTAAACCTGACAGTGACCACTGCCACAGTTGGGGGCCCAAACTGCTTCTAGGAGCTGGGGGATTCGGTCTCTGTTTTAAACTTCTTTGCCCCCTTAGGTAAGCAGCCCCCTTTCTCTATATATTGTTGCTTTGAGTCTCTTGATGTGAGGGGCATCCCCCTGCTGTAGGCTTCAGTCCTGTTTGTTAAAGGTTCTGTATTGGGGAGCAGCTGAACCTCTAAAGTCTGGCCGTGAGGAGAAAGTATCTTTTATAATTTCTCTGCAATCATGGAGGGGCTTTCTCTCCTCTTCAGGCAAGTGTGAGGCTGGATTATATAGATGCCATCATCCGGGATGAGGGGAGGACCTAGGATTTTCCTTAGCTGACACACTGAACACAGTGGTCCAGAGTCTGACAGAGCTGCCACCAGAAGAGGCTCGTGAGCATTGTGTCAGGGCAGATGCCAATGCAGAGGCAGGATCAGGTGGTCTTGCTTTGGATTTGGTAGGTAGGCAGCAACATGGGCAAAATTTCATCCTCTGGAGAACCTAGTGGGAGTGCTTCCTTCTTCAGGCTTAACAGTTTTTGCATGACTGTGGGGGTCTCACAGAGGGACTGTGCAAAACCCATGATGAGAAGAGTTCCCTAACCAGGACCTGGGGGGTTTTATAGCCCCGTGCTGGTTACAGGACAACTTAAGGTCTTACTAGGGGCCACACCTATGTCCCTGTCACCTCTTATTACTGGAGGTGAGAGCCTGTTCAGGTGAAACCGCATGTTGGGGATCAATCAGACCCCATAGCCACAGAGCTGTTGGACCATTATAAGCATTCATCATTGCTGGGCAGTGGTAGTGCATGCCTTTAATCCCAGCACTTGGGAGGCAGAGGCAGGTGGATCTCGTGAGTTCAAGACTAACCTGGTCTATAGAGTGAGTTCCAGGACAAGCTCTAAAAGCTACACAGAGAAACGCTGTCTCAAAAAACCAAAAATCCAAACCAAACCAAACCAAACCAAAGCCAATCCCCCCAAAACTCCCAAGTATTCATCATTCATTCAGAAATTATACATTCTCATTTTAAATTCTCAGTCTGTCCATTTCCCTGGAGATCAATCTAACTTTTCCTTAGAGACCAGTGCCACCTTAGTATCCCATCAAGGCTTTGGATGCAACCCCACTCCGGCTTTCCTGCCTGTCTCCCTGGGGTCTGGATGTCCCACCTAATCTCAACCTTCTCCCACTTGGAGACTCCAGTCCTGGGTCTCTCAGTCCCCTTGGCCACTGGAATGGGACCCTAGAATCCCATCAGGGGTGCACTCTTCCCAGTTCCAGAGATTTTTGGTGGGCTAAGAGACTCAAGAGTGGCCACTTTCTGGACCAACTGGGGCCAAGGTGAAGGAGATCTCACCAGGGGACCTCCAGAAATGTTGCTGCTATCTTTCTGGAATAAGCACTCCAACAGCAATGAGAGCGCAGTGGAAGAGAGGTGATGTCACCAGTGGATTGAAGCCAGGACAGCTCCTGAGAGGCTTCGATCCTGGGTCCAGTTTGTGTTCTCATCTTATACTTGAGAACCACAACGTGGGGTGGGAAAGCAAGCAACTTCTTACAGAAGCTTATGTGGCAGCCAGCAGCAGGTTGTTAGGCGCAACGACTCATTGTTTTAGTTATTTCTCCATGTTATTCTGTTCCAGGGAGCAAGTGAAATTATGCTTGGCAAATAGGCAGTACAAGCAGCGCTGTAAGTGAATCCCTAAATAAGTCAATGGCCAGTAATTGATCTTTTCTACCTTATTCTGCTTCATAATCTTCAGGTTGGATTAGGAGAAAATGTAAGCTATGTAGTGCTATATCATTGGTGTGAAGAATAGGGGAGGGGAGAATAAAGCGTACTTGAGAACTTGCTCTTACATGCTTAGAGTATACCCAGAGCTTGTGTAAGAAGCTCACTTGCCTGTGGGGAAGGTTGCCCTGTGGCTAGGGATCCAGGGTAAGAAGACCTTTCACTACATACTACATATATAATTCACTGAGTTATTATTATTATTATCATCATTATTATTGTTATTATTATTATGTTTTTATTTATTATTAAAGTGGGTGTGATTTGTATGTATGGGATGTGTGTATGCTTCACAGGTGTGTGGAGATCTGAGAACGACATGGTTCTCTTTTTTGACTTTTTGGAGGATTGAGCTCAAGCCTTTAGGCTTGTGTGGCAAACACTTTTACCTGATGATCCACCCCACTGCCTATGGGTCCACTGAATTATGAGTGATGTAAGAACGTGATGAAAATTAAAAAGAAGAACATGTCTATTTGGACTGAGATGTGGGTTATGCCTGATCTTTTAATTTTGTCTTTTACGACTTTCCCCAATAGGTGGCGCCCTGCAGACACCACACTGCTTGTTTTCCCTTCACTGTTTTTTGGTGGGGGTCTGAGGGTAGGGTGCCGAGAATCTAACACAGAACCTCAAGCAAGATGGACAAATGCTCCACTACCGAGTTACACCACCAGCTCCCCCAAGCCTGGACTTTTATTTTATTTTGAGAAAAACCCAAACTTTCTCAGACGGTTCGTCCTCTCTGCTTGCCACCTCTACAGATTAACGGCAGGGCTGAAAATCTCTCTACTGGGCCCTCTCTGAAACACATTGCTTTGATCCTGGGTTCTGGATGGGAGGGGCAACACCTGGAATGAGAAAGAAAATTTGCAGTTGGTCAGAAAACCAGTTGATGTTTCTCAAATCTGTCTTCCTGATTGACACTGGGGAAGGGCTTGGTTGCTAGGCTGATTTAAAAAGTTAATAAAGAGTTTTAGGTGGTGGCGCATGCCTGTAATCCCAGCACTTGGGAGGCAGAGGCAGGTGAGTTCTCTGTGAATTTGAGGCCAGCCTGGTCTACAGAGCTAGTCC